GCAACAGCTTACATTTAGTCACCGTCTCTTTCCATAAAGAACTGTGGAGTGTTTCAGAAATATATTTACAGGATTACAGTTAATGAAGCAAAACCCCTTAACAGTGAATGTAGCTGTCTCTACCATATAATGCAATGAAACAGTATAAATTTGAAAGTTAGTATGGTCACAAGAAGACTAAGAATTGTGTAAAATAACCCAGGAGTTGAGGATAAGTACACAGTCCACGTGATGACCTCTTTCTAGAGGAGTCCCCCTATCGAAAAAAAGGTTAGAAAAATTTTTTAATCATAGAAGTATTAAGTTCATTGAATATAAACCAAGTGGTTAAAAAGTGAAATAAACAGCGAAAGTTTCCCATTTATCCTTTTAGCTCAATTTTAAGCTTGATAAATAATTAGTATACTTTTAGAAACGCATAGTTAGAATATAAATAGAATATTACATATACTGCAACTCCCATTTTCTACCACTTGGAGATCTGTATTCCAAGCTAGTCTTTTTTATTGTTCTTTTTTAAAGATTTTGGTTTTTTTAAATTTTGTTTTAAATAAAAAATATGGCTTTTTTTGAAACAAAAAAAGCTTTTGAAACAAAAGGCTTTTGAAACAACCAACATAATACAATTATGTATAAGGAAAATATTACTAATTCTTTCTACCCTATCATGGTTAAATTTTGTGTCAACTTGACTAGGCTATGGTGTCCAGTTGTATGGTAAACACTAGATGTTGTTGTGAAGGTATTTTGTAGATGTGAATAACATCTACAATCAGTTGACCTTAAGATTACGCTCCATAACAGGGGTGGGTCTCATCCAATCAGTTAAAGGTCTTAAGAGAAAAAACTGAGGTTTCCTGAAGAAGGAATTCTGCCTCAAGACTATAACAGAAATTCTGCCTGAGGTTCCAGTCTGTTGGCCTGCCCTGCTGCCTTACTGACTTCAGACTTGCCAATCCCCTACAATCCCAAGGACCTATTCCTTAAAATAAATCATGTATGTATACACACACACACACACACAGACGCACACTCTATTGGTTCTGTTTCTCTGGACAACTCTAATACACATCCTTTAAATCCATTTCCCAGGGGCCAACCCGGTGGCACAAGTGGTTAAGTGTGCATGCGCCGCTGCGGTGGCCCAGGGTTCGCCGGTTCAGATCCCAGGCGCGCACCGACACACTGCTTGTCAAGCCATGCTGTGGCGGCGTCCCATATAAAGTGGAGGAAGATGGGCACGGATGTTAGCCCAGGGCCAGTCTTCCTCAACAAAAAGAGGAGGATTGGCAGATGTTAGCTCAAGGCCGATCTTCCTCACACACAAAAAAAAATTCCATTTCCTACATACAAAAGTTTATGCTTTTTCCCTAAGAAATGAGTTCATGGTATACATGGAGTCTACATCTTAACTTTTTCCTACTTAACAACATATCATGGACATCTTTCCAGGTCAACAGGCAAGATCTAACTCATTCTTCTCAAGAGCCACATAGTAAGCCATTGCACAGATTATTATGTAAGCAGGGGAGCCAGAGACATAGAGGTAGTTTCCAGTGTTTTGCTCTTGGTACCATTATCTTGCATCAAGCTTTCAAGAAGCAGATTTATACACTGCCCTTGTCTTATATTCCTATGCTTTGCTTCAGAATGGAACTTATAATCTACCAAAGATTTAGCCTGTCAGATTTTCCCAGCTGCCAGTTTAAAAATAAACAGCCTGGATATAAGGTCAAAAGTGTCTAACAGCTGCTAGGCAAGTGAGAGTTCTACTGTTCACAGGCATTTGAGAAACGCCAGCAGCAAGCTGTTCTCCCTGACCTCGGTATGAAGTCAATCCTGTACAAGTATGACATTTACTGTCACAGGTAGGAGAACCAAGAGAGAAAGTCTCCCCCTGTTTCCTAATTCTATTTTTTCAACAGACCACTATGTTTAATTCAAATGCTAAGCAGACAGGCACCTAGAAAATATTTTTAAGTAAAAAATTAATAAACCAGCTTTGCATTTCATCCACTGGTTGTTTTACGCCAACCAGAGATGTCTCTGGCTGGTCCACAGTTAACCAGGACCCCAGCTCCTACCTCAAGCCAACACCAAAGGCTGGAAGAAGGACCGAGGGACTTGAAAGTACAAGGCACTGATGTCAACACGTTGGTGTTCTGAATCTCCAGGGTGCCCTGCCAGGCCAGCCCATGAGTCAAATGCACCGGCCTCTACTGAGCTGCAGAGTATTTCATATAATGGGAGGGCACACAGGTATCCAGGCAATCAGTAGTAACATGATCCCAACAACTCCCCTAGGCAGAAACAAGTGTCTGCAGCCACCTTCACAAATGCTGTTTCTACTCCAGCCCTCTGGACTCTTTGGAGATTGTCTTTGTCTAAAGATTCCGGGCCGGCCCCGTGGCTTAGCGGTTAAGTGCGCGCGCTCTGCTGCTGGCGGCCTGGGTTCAGATCCCCGGCGCGCACGGACGCACCGCTTCTCCGGCCATGCTAAGGCCGCGTCCCACATACAGCAACTAGAAGGATGTGCAACTATGACATAGAACTATCCACTGGGGCTTTGGGGGAAAAAATAAATAAATAAATAAAATTATAAAGATTTATATTTATCTGAAATAACCACAATTATTTTTATTATATATTACTTCAGTTTATTAAATAATGAAACAAGGTTTATGCCACATATTCCAACAACGTTTAAAATATAAAGGCTTATGAAAAATTTATAGTCTTTATATAATATATACTATTTCTAACACATGAATAAATATGCACAACAGGAGCCATTTTTTATATCACAGATCAGCAACATTTAGCATCAATAATTACAGAACTCCACAAGCAAACAAAAAATTCCATTTTCTTCTTTTTGGTTATAAAAGCTCAAAATCCTTTTGCTATATTTAAGCTATATCCAAGGGGGGCGTGGGGACTTGTAGCCACACCCCTGAAAACAAGGGGACCGAGTCTCCCAAGTCCCTAAGTTCTTTCTTGGTTAGAAGCTTCAACAATTGCATTAACCCTTTCAGGAAGCAGAAAAAACAAAACAGGTTAGGATCCTGTTCTACAAGGTGTTTAATAAAGCTACACTGAAGAAATACTAAATTTTTGTCTCGAAAACTTGCTTAAGTTTCACAGTGAGGTTGGAATTTCTTTTCATCCCAGTATGAGCATGTACGTGATTTTAATAAATTGATACAATGAATATTGCCTGACATTTACTCTTTACATGGTCTTCAAGATGAACTTGCTTCTACTGTTTTAGAAATTATATGTACACTTAAAAATAAAATTTCTACATAAAAAAAGAGTGGTTCATAAGAAGTAATCCTTTAAACCTAAGGAACTCAAAAGGGAAAGCCTTTCTATAGAAAGCCCTTACCACATTAATGGAATGTTTTGGTAAGAAGAAAAAAATCTCTCAAGATATGGTTCAGTACCTGGAGTGAAGCCTGAACGAGCCTAGTCACATCTGAGGGGCCAGGGAGACCTAAACTCTCATCTTAGTTTTTAAGCAACTAACACCTACACGCCACTCCACCTCGCCTTCTTTCTTCCTTTCTCTTTTTAACGACTTTGTCTTAGCTCTTACTTTTGGAAATAAAATTCTGCTTCGCAAAATCTTTGTCAAAGTCAACATTAATAAAGAAGGCAAGGTGAAAGTGACTGGGAGTAAAATTGTCCAATCCCCAAGAAAACCCTGCGTTCCTTCTTTCTATTCTGCTTTAAAGGAGGAAGCAGCCCAGGGGCTAGTTGAGCTGGGAATGTGCCCGGCATATATGCAGAAGTGTCTGCCTGGGCGCCCCAATTAGTATGTATTGGATGTTGTTTTCCAAAGATAGAACTGAAGGTACTCAAGTAAATACATTCCCTTTCCTGGGGCTGTACTCTAGAAGTGCAAAGTTCTTGGGGCTCTCTGAGTCACTCTTTATTTTGAAAAGATGCAGATGAGAATGAACACGGAGAATGATTTATCCCATCTTTACAAGAAAAAAAGAAAGGGAGATATTATATACTTCTAATCAGAAACTAGATAAATAGATGCAGCATTAAAGAAATCATTTTTAGAATTTCAAGCAAGTATTTTCCATCTAAAGTAATTACGAAGTCCAAGATGGGAAATATTTTAACAAACATGACCTGAACTAAAGTAAAAACAGGGAAATCTGGAAAAATTGACTCTTCGATTCACTTGCAACATTTTGCTAAAGAAAACATAATAAAACCTTACCTTACACAGTGTTTTCTTTCACAAGGCCTATAACAAAGGGCTTCACTTGGGACTACAATGAGAAGCTCATGATAAGATGACTCTCTTCTGTACTGTTTATTCTGGGATGACAGCTGTATGACAGCATGATGTAAATACACCCACCCTACAAGTCAGGTAGTAGCAGCTACTGTTTTCTTCACTTGACCCTCAACATCAATAGCTGTTATTATTCCCATTTTACAGATTGGGAAATAACACTTTGCTAAAAATCATAGAGCAAATTACTAACATTACCTGAGAGAGAATCCGAGCTGCTTGAAACACCTCCCACCAACACGGACCCTGTCACCTTCCAAAACCAGCACATCATACCAACACGAATTCAGATGTTAATTTGTAACAATTCCTCACAAAGGTCAAGTCTTCAAAGGCTTAAAATCACTTATTATAAGTGAAAGATCCTGCCAAAATAGGAAATTATAAAGCAGTGCAATATTCCAGGGATCTATTTCCTGCACTGTTTATACCTGGGGTTGAAAAGTCCAGGTCTCCACGTGTGACATTTCTTCAGCTGACAAGAAGCAAAAGCCCCCAGGAGTTCAGGAACAATAATACCCTCTTGGAGGCTCTATTCCCTGGTTCCAATGAGCTTCTTTAGAGCACTCTGGTCTTTCCAGCTCTGAGCTGAGACTATCAGGTGCTACTCTCTCCTGAAGAAAACAGTACACAGTTCCTCAACTTCTTGCAAGTTTTCTTTAGCAAGAAACATGCATTACCTATGTTATCTTTGATGCTGAAGGGCACTTTAATGGTAGAGACTAGGGTTTGGATGTTACAGTTTATGCCATTAAACGTTTGATGCAGAGCGTCCGAAGCCAACGCACAGCAATCTGAACTAACCCAGTCTTCATCTGTTGCTCACACCTCAGAATCTGTCACGAGCCAAGCAGTGAGAAGCAGTGTGAAACACAGGAAACTTTACTGTTTCGGAAGTGAGCATTTTCTGAGCGCTGTCTCATGTGTGCCTTGACTTCTCACAAATCCAATTTCTTCAACTGCTCATAAGTCACAAAGAACTGCAGTTATCAGTTAAGGCTGACAAAGAAGATGCCATCTTAGCAACCCTGATGTATGAAAACAGACCCACAAAAAGCACGTCTACTAACAAATACGTCTGGGCAGACCACATGCCATGGACATGATTAAATATGAGGGGCTTCATCCTTAACTGGCCCAAAAGATCTCCCCATAAGCCTTCCCAAGGTCAGCTGAGATATACAAGTCCCCCAGCATCAGCTCCGATAGCCTCTTCTAAGATTATATCCACACCAACTAGCTTTTATGACTTTGCTTTGGTGGGAGGACTTTCCAGAACAGTAAGTTCTGTGAGAAAGACAGCATGCCCCGGGAAGCTCTCCTCAAGGGTTTCTGCTAGGCAGGCCTCCTGGTAGAGGGAGGTGCAGACAAAGAGAAATAAGAGGATGGTGAAAGCCAGTATTTCCTATTTTACAATCCTGCCCTTTCATGTCTAATAAACTGCCACTTCTTTCCTGCCTCCCACGTTGGCACATAGGAAATAGTGCTGATCAGCCAAATAATTCAGGAGCTAATTCCTGTTTATCCTTAGGCACTCTCTAAAATAAGGATTCGAGAACTCTGCTGCCAAACCACATCCTTCCCTGGTGGCCAGGGATATAAAATCCATCTTTGTCTTTCTCTGAAATCATAAATACTCTCAGCTTCTAGAGCAGAGTCTGAATAAAAATTTTTATTGATGTCACTACTTTTCAATAACACCATCATTAAACCAAGATTCATAGTGCCTAGCATAGAGACTTTATATTTCCTAAAAAAGAAACTGAATAGTTATTTCTTAGAATCAGAGGAACTCAAAAGAGTAAGAACCTACTTCTAAACTATAATTAATAACCTGATAGTTTATACAAACAATATCCTTTTAGCTACATCTTTTTTCAGATCTACTGCAACAGAAAAGGATACAATGATGTTCCAAGGACCAAGTCTCAACCAATTTGGCCAAAACCCTTTATATAGAGCAAAAAACCCTTCATTCTTCCATGTCTGTTATAAAGGAAAAAAATAAGAGTTAACTTTCAACTTTCCAATTATGTCAAATGCATTAATAACTAGTAGCCAGACTGAACTCATCTATTCTTCTTTAAAAGCTTCTGCATAGGTGAAGACTAAGGCTCCGTGCCAAACCACCCCACACACAAACCAAACAGCAGTTGAATGAGTAAGAAATTAGATTTAATTCCAACTACAATCTTTTGCTTCCAAGCCATTTGGGCTCATAAACAGGTTGGAAACAAAGAAGCAATGGTGGTCAAGATATCACTCAGAGCACCACTATTTCATAAGTTGTTGGATGGATAAAAATGATAAGTATCTTTGCTTCATTAAAGCAATACTTAAAGTCTAGGATGCACCAGCATCATGCTGGATAACAGGAACCACAAAACTGGTCCCTAATCTTTGACTGCTGGCAATCCAGTAGGGGAGACAGTCACAAACTTCTGTCCACTCGTGAACACTAGGCTTGATTATTTAAGCTGAGAACTACAGGAAGACTGATGTGTTGCCTTGAGAGAGATGTCTGAATGAAGGATATTCATTCCAGTTTGACTCAACAGGAAGGAGATATATTTTGGAAGGAGACACAGTTCTACTATAATCACAGAAAATATGACTATTTTCTCACTCACCACAGCAGAGCACAGATATAAAGAAATGAACTTTCAATTCTAAATATTCATCTAGATTTTGTATTTATAACAATCAACCCTGGTGTGGCAAAAACTGTGTACCATCTCAGGGCTTTCGAGCATTACTCATCTTAGTTTTAACAGCTCTCAAAATTTAGTTACCTCTTAGGTAAAAAATAAATAAATAAAATATAAATCTATTTGGGGACCGTTTCACTGATCGAAACAATCCACTAGAATGTTGAAGATTAAGTAACTTTGCTTATTTCATAATAGTATTCCTTGTTATTATTAATTAAACTAACAACAAGGGCTTACTACATTCTAGGCACTATGCTAATTGCTTTAAAGGCTTTATCTCACTTATTTTTACAATAACCCTATGATGTAGGTGCTATTATTGTCCCATTGTACTTATGAAGAAACCGAGGTATAAGGAATCTGTACCTTGACCAAAGATACACAATTACAAGCGACAGATCCACAGGTATGTTTTGCTCTAAACTCTGTGTCCTTAAATCCTAAGAAACTCTTCAAAGGGTAACATGGAAGCTAATGGGCTACGAAACGAATTCACAACTCCGTAAAGATGGAAATTCATTCTCACCTGTAACAAGCAATCCAGAGTACCTGTGTAGCCAGAGCAGCTTCCATCTCGAAGGACTCTCTGATTCATCATACGTGTTCTCACAACATCAACAGGGTTTGAGGCCAGGGCCCCGGCCAGACCACAGGTGAAGCTTGAGCTATGAAGAAGATACCATTGGAAAAACAAAAAGTTAGCCACTACTGAGCTGCAATCACCACTACCAAAGGCAGGAAACAGCCTCCTCCCCAACTATGTTCAAGTGATACGTAACAAGATGAAATGTATCAAGAATGAGGTTCACATTTAAGAGAGCTGCACAAACTCCTGAAACACCAGCACTGATTATACTGGCTGATAAATTCCAGCCACAGCTAAGACCACCTTTGAGGTTCTAGAACGTCAAAGAATCATAGAAACATGAAGGAACGTCCTCCAAAGATGGTCTATTGCATCTATTCACCTATAAGTGGGCATCAGAGTAATTTTAGCCATATCATAACCATGTTGTTCTTGGAGAACAGAGAAAAAGATCTCCCCACTGTAATGCCCACCAGGGGCTCAGGTTCTACTAAATTTTCAGTCTCACAAGACGACCACAGACCACACTTAGTATCAATTAACTCAGAGCAGAGTTCTCAGCTTCGGCACTACTAACATTTTGTACCGGATAATTCTTTGTCGTGGAGGTCTGTCCTGTGCACTGTAAGATGTTTAGTAGCATCCCTGGCCTCTACCTAGGAGATGCCAACAGTACTCTCCCTAGTCATAACAATCAGAACAGTCTCCAGAAATTGCCAAACATCCTCTGAGGGGCAAAAATTGCCCCTTAATGGATTAAACTCAGATACACTCATTTTCCTGGTTCACTTCTGTATTGTAATTTTTCAAATATGAGAATATAATACTTTTATAATGAACTTTCTTTAAATTTCTATAAGTATGCACCAAATTTCCACCCTAAACTCATGTATACCTAAAATATTAATTTTTTTAAAAATCCGAAACATACAGGAAGTGGGTACACACAGTGTCTCCCATCAGGCCCGAGAGAATCAGGTGCTTCTTGGTGAGGTCGTAGACCGGCAGCTCCACGCCAACAACAATAGCAGCCCTCTGAGCAGTAAGGGACACGCCCTGGCAAAAACATTAATAATAAAGATTCAGATCTCTCTCCATAGAACAAGCCTTGCAAATGTGCAAAGGTTCTACTCTACAAACTATGGCCAATTTTTATGTCTTCCTGCTGGTAGGCAGAAACGTAGTAACAGCGTAGAGAAGACCAGAGTGTAAGAAGTCAGAAGCTCCAAAGTCTAATTCTTATTCTGGCACTAACTGTATGACCTTGGCCAGACCTTGGCCAGGACAAGTCACCTCTCAGAGCCTCTGGTTTCCTTGTACATATTGAGAGGATCACACTGGATGACCTTTACTGATGAGTAACTAAAATACTAGGAAACAGCACTCCATACCAGTGTTTGCCTAATAACAACATAGTCGCCACTTATGAGCCATAAAACATACAGATCAAAAAATCCAATGTAGCTGTAACCACAAACTCCTTCTCCGCATAAGAATAAAAAAAAAAAGCAAAGGAACAAACAAAAAGTACTCCACCTTCGCAGAATCCCTTAGATATGAATTACTCAGAAAGTCTTTTAAAATCGTGACATGTTCCTTATATTTCCATTTTACAGATAAGGAAATTAAGGAAGAAGACATCTTGAAGGACAATCCATTATGCCATTGGGAGTAAATAAAATGATGGAAATAAGAAAAATAAATTCAAAAAAGGAAAAAAGGGAAGAACTAAGTCAGTTGGATCTGTTTTTCAAGCTTACCTTCCACAGTCCTCTCGTTCCCTCTTGTTGGTAAATGTTAATGAAGTTGCCTATCATTCCTCCTTGAATGGTGCTGCTCTGTGCTTGCATCCGTATCTAGGGATGATTTTAAAGACTAACATGAGCAGGAAACTAGCACACTTCTCCCCAAATGTAGACCTCTGAAAATCATTCCATCTGTTGTTTAATAATCATTAAGAGTAAAGGGGCCAGCCCGGTGGCGCAAGCGGTTAAGTGCACACGCTCCACTGCAGCGGCCCAGGGTTTACAGGTTCGGATCCCGGGCGTGCACCGACACACTGCTTGGCAAGCCATGCTGTGGCGGCGTCCCATATAAAGTGGAGGAAGATGGGCATGGATGTTAGCCCAGGGCCAGTCTTCCTCAACAAAAAAAGAGGAGGATTGGGCCGGCCCCAAGGCTTAGCGGTTAAGTGCACGCGCTCCGCTATCGGCGGCCCGGGTTCGGATTCTGGGCGCACACCAACACACTGCTTCTCTGGCCATGCTGAGGCCGCGTCCCACATACAGCAACTAGAAGGATGTGCAACTATGACATACAACTATCTACTGGGGCTTTGGGCGGGGGGGGCAGAAAGAGGAGGATTGGCAATAGATGTTAGCTCAGAGCCAGTCTTCCTCAGCAAAAAGAGGAGGATTAGCACGGATGTTAGCTCAGGGCTGATCATCCTCACAAAAAAAATAAATAAATAAAAAATAAAATAAAATAAAATGTCCTCAGTAGACTAAAAATTTATAAGGATTGGTTCTTAGGCACTTGGCATCGACAAAAAGCATCTAATAGAGTCTAGACAGTCCTGCATACAATAGCTCATGAGGTGTCAAAAGAAATTAATTTTTTTTAAATAGTCTTTTGAAAAAGAAAGAAAATGGCATATTTCCCTATAGGTTACTAAGTGGGAAAGAGAGAATATGATGGTAATTCTAAAGATTTAACATAACTAGTAAGAGTATCCAGTGTACTTGGCAGCACTAAGCATGGGCGAACGTATTTCTTAAATTATTTACTCCAAGCCACAATTATTTCCAACCAGCTGAACTAAAAGGTATGCAGGCGAGCTGGCCACGGGATGGCCACATGATGCCTGTCACAATCTGTTACACTTGAACTTACAAATGAACTTTACGGTGGCCATGGAATTCACATGACCAAGATTCCAACATAAAAATAACGTTTGATGTAGCTCTCTGCATTTTTAAGAAGGTAAAGAGATTTCTCACTAAAAAATTGGTACCTTATTTTGGTTTAGGGAGCAAACACATCACCTTGAACTTCTAAAGGGAACTGTTAATGCCACACTAACATGGAAAAATAAACCAAAACTCAAAAACTGCCTTTCCACAGCCCTGACATACATTTGAGAGATTAATAGGAGCAAGGATATTTTTCCCTGGCAATCTTACCCCAACATAGGGTAAATTTATGGCAAAAGCGTCTTGTATTTCTCTTCACTCGTGCTGTACCTTCACTGTGCATAACTGTAGTACACTCAACACACTGCTGCATAAAATGCTGATGCTCATCAGAATCTCTCATTAGACTGAAGGTTGAGGGCAGGGTCCTTGTCTTACTCATTTTTGGATTCTAAGCACCTAATACAGCAACTGGTACAAGGTGGAAGCACAGTGAATGCAGCTTAAATAAAGGGTGAAAAAGGAGAGGGAGGGAGGAAAAGGAATAACTTGAGAAGGTTCAAAAAGTAACTCATGCCTAATTTTTATTTTATTTAATTAGTTAGTCCTTGCCCTATTTCAAAAAGGATTTAAAGAGGCTGTTGTCCTGGGTATTGTCAACAAGGTCATCTAATGTGTTATGTCTAATTGTGGTAAGTAAATATTTTCATTAGTATTTCCTGAAATCAAATTAATGGATAACATAATGCATTCAGAAATGGTCATTAATGAGCAGCCTAGACTTGTGTAAAACGTGCAGCCCATCTATTTTTAATGAACCAATAAAACAAGGGAGATTTTCAATGAAAAAATGAAATTCAAATGCATCCAAGCCTACATTTTTTTTCCTGCTTAATCACCAAAACTTCCGAAATCACCAAAGTCTCCAAAATGAGCTCTACTTTTAAGCTCATCTGTATCAGTGGGAAATTCACCTAGTGGAGATTTATAAGTTAGAGTCTTGATGGTACTTAAATTATAAACAGATTCACATACGCATAGTGTATGCTATTCTGGCAGATTTTCATTATCTGAACATTGCCCTTAATAAGAAAATGCAGAGTGTGCCTATAAGATATAGATAGCACTGCTTACCTTCAAAACATCAGTTGGATTAGCAATGGTTGAGGATATGACTCCAGAGAGAATTCCACAGACCACATTTATCAGCAGGGTCTCATCTGCAAACAGAGATATATTATTTGACTTTTCACATATACAGAGTTCTTTATAAGTGTAACTCATATACATACCACTTGTTCATCTTAAGAGAATAAAGAAATTTATGCTTTATGAATCAAGTAATTTTAAAAGGATTGAGGATTTCGCTGGCTAAGGGGATTTTGCTTAGCAAAATTTCTTGATATCCAAAAAGGAATGTGAATTACCATGCACAGTTAGTAACTATCTACCAATTCCCTTTTGTGTGCTTCAATACAGACCACTGAAGCAATTAAGATGAGGTATATCTGGCAGGAGAATAAAAAAGATATACTCCTATGAGATACTGTTTTGAGAGTCTATGAGAAATGGAGATAAAGTTTTAAAGCACATCACACAGATTTAATCTGAAGTATACTGAAGCACTTCCAAAGCATCTTTGCTCCTGTTCACCCCCTCACGTGACAGTCCCACGGTGCTCGTCTCATTGTAAAAGGAGATAGAAAGTTCTATAGGTTAAAGCAAAGTCGCAGAATCAACCAGCAATCAATTATTAGAACTCAAGAGTTCTTAGTACTAAGAAATGTATTAACCGCTTTCCTGAAAAACAGGTGATAATCCCTATGATTTTAGAAAATTTTAAATTGCCTAGAACTATAACTTATGCTCTAGTCTAGACATTTTGGAGATGGAGACAACTCAGTAAAATGTTTGTAAGATTGTTCCTTTTAACTATTACTCCCCTAAATTCAGCTGATAACTGACTTGCTTTAAGCACAATTCAGTTAGACTTTATACCCAGAGTTCTCAGCAGGAGTAAAGACACAAATAACCTGAAGAAAATAGATCCAAAACCACTAGGAAAAAAGATTCCCCGCTCACCTTCTGGGCGTTCGACAAATAATCGCTTCAAGCTCTGGTAAGTGCCTATCTTGATGGTGCCATAGGAAGCCTGGCGTAGCATCGCAGGGGCAATCCTGTCACACCAATTACAAAGCGACGAAAAAATTCTTAAAATCCTCTAGAAGACCCCCACACAGAGATACAATCACATATCTGCCTTCCACAATCAAACTACATTAAAACAGATTTCTTAAAATGCAAAATCCAACAAAAATATAGGTGGGTTCAGCTAAATCCATGCAAATTATGAGCTCACTAAGTGGAAGCTCAGCCCCTCATGTCTATCCTCAACGAAAATGTAAGAGCACATGGAGTTCCATTTGCCCCTTCGTGTTCAGATGAAAGGGCTTTCCTTTCTCGATACAAAGCGCCTGGTGAAATCCGGCCTCTGTAAGCATCTATCATTCTTCCACTGTTGCTCTGGAGCTCACCTCCTACCTCCTGGGGGGCCCTGTTCCAGTTATTCCTTCTCCCTCTCGTCACCCTCTCTGACCCCAGAACCACCCTGTGGCATTTATACTGCCCAGCTGTTTTTGCACTTCCAACTTCCTTCTTGAATTGCAATCTGGCTTCACCCCACCCCCTCCATCAAAACTCTCCTCTCACCAAGGTGACCAACTGACATCTTTCTTGCTAAATTAAATGATGCTTTTCAATTAGTACCTTGTATAACCTCTCTGCAGTATTTGCTACTGTCCACCCTCTGTCCTACTTGCAGGTGTCTCCTCCCAGAGCTGCCAGAACATCACCCTCTCCCATTTCTTTTCTTTTCTCTGCAGCATCCTCTCTCTGTCCTCTGGGGTTGCCCAGGATTCCATCCTACGCTTTCTTCTCTCCTTGCTCCACACACTCCCTGGGTGAGCTCATCTGCTCCCATGGCTTCAACTACTGTTGAAGACTGATGACTACTAAATCCATGTTTTCAACACTGATCCAAAGATGCATTTCCAACTGCTTCCTAAATTTCTCAATTCACATGGCCTATACCCACCTCCAGATCAAGTGTCCCACAGTGAACTAATTATTTTCCCTCTCCAAGTGATCAGCTCTCCTCTTCTGTTTTCTAGACCAGGGAATGGAACTTCCATTTACACACTGGCCAAAACCAGAAATCAAGACATTAGTCTGGTCTGCTCCTCTCCCGCTACCCTCTCATATATTAGGTCCCATGATATGTCAATCCTATGCCTGAAATAGTTTTCTAGCCTGTCTTCTTTCTCCCCATCCCCAAGACAACACCTCAGGTCAGATCCTTATTGTCTCTGCTTCCTTCATGACAGCCTGCTTCCGGTGTTACCAGTCTCTAACTCTTTCTCCTCATGGCAAGCAGGCATCTTTTTACAATGGAAACCCAATCACGTTAGCCCCTCTACTCAAAACCCTTCAGTGGCTTCTGTCTGTCATAGGCATAGCAAACTCAAGTGCTTACAGGCACCAGGCAGATGCCATGACTGAGTGAAGCAGGTTGGGTCCAACTGCACACACGTGCACTACGTGAGTGGCAGAGGTTTTGGTAAACCAAAGAAAGCATCCTTAACACCAGTTACTATTATCACAAGTGAAAGAATGTGGGTCCAGATGTTCATTTTTCTTAAGATAGAATCCCAGGTTTTTATGCACAATTTCTCATATTCAAAATATTAGCTCAATTGAAAAACAAAAACCTTTGGGGACTGGTGGCTGGAAGGGCTGTGAGGCACCCATTTGGGACCTATGGTATACTGGAGAAAACCAAGATGCTCAGCATGGCCTGACATTGTCTGTGTCCTGACCCCTTATTACTGCTCAACTCCATCTCTGGCAACTCACCAACGCCCATGCTATATCCATGCTGAAGTACTTGCGGTTCCCAGAATGTACCATGCTTTCTTGCACACACTACTGGCTCTGCGTGAATACGGTTCCTCTCCAACTTCACTTGGCTAACTCGTCTTGGTCCTTCAAGATCAGATCCAGTGCCTCTGGATTGAACAGGTTTCCTGAAAACCCACCTCCTCTTCTGACCCCCCCGTCTGGGATTGATGCCCTGCCTCTACCAGATTCTAGTACCTACCAGACCCCATTGTAATCCCGTTTACACATCTGCAGCCCCCACTAGACCACAGCTCCCTCAAGACAGGGCTGCTGATCCCCATCCTCCCAGATCCATCCTCACCCTTCTCTGTCCTGCTCTGTGCCCCGAGAAGCTGGTGCCTATGGACGACACCACCCAGGCTCCCCTGCCAACTGACTTCTGGGTGGATTCAGCCAGTAGAAGATGGGAGGGAGGAGAAAGAAGCAGAGGTATTCTTCCTCTCCCTGGGCGCTACCAAAGCATCCCTCAACAGCTACTGTTTGCTCCTTTAGGCTCAGCCCTAGGAGGCTCTGCTAACACCATTCCTGCCCTTGCCTCTTTGATCCTGGGGTTGGTAACAATTTCTCACTTTGCTAGTTTCTAGGTACCTCAATAGCCTCCATTTGTTCCCTTAACCCATGAGCAGCTCCTTCATTAAAGTTTCTCACTGAAACCACCCGAATGAATTCCGGTTCCTGCAGGGACTGACTGACACAGGCAGGGCCTTGTCTCGTTCACTTTTCTATCCACCGCCTACACCACACTGTACATTGAGTGTTGGAGGAAAGAAAAGCAGTTCATGCAACTCTTACCCATGGAGAATACTCGTATCATTTTTCACTATGGCAAAAAACGCGGTAATTTAGAATAGCCAAGTGGAAGGGCTATTTTCAGAGTGAAATACTGAATTAAAGAATTTTTTAAAAACAAACATAATTTCTGTATTATTATCCATACTCGAATATAATAAAAACACAGTTTACTACAACATTCACTACATACAATACATAAATAAATAAAATAAAAGAGTTGAAATGAAAAATCTACTATGCTACTTGCTCTTTTCAAATATACCTGAAACTTCTACTTTTTTTCTATGAAGTCTTAGTCTTAAGTCTACTCATCTGAAAGGTCAACGGTGAAATATACACACACAAAGGTCTCCTTACCCGGAGTACAGCGCTTTCAGCCCTTCCTCTCGGCCTATCCTCACTAAAGCATGCAACATGCCTCGATACCGAATTTCTTTAAAGTTGGCATCATTCTTCTGACCTTGAATCTGGAGCCGTGTCTTGGTTAAATCAATTGGAAATGTACCTTAAAATTGTAAAGAAGAAAATATTTCACTTAATAAAAAGAAATTCCACTAAATAAAGGATACACAATGGTATATTACTGAGGAAACATTCACACTATCATGTAAACTAAGAAATAGAATTAAGAAATGGCAGATACTTTGCCATCTTTTTTCTATTTAAAAAAAACAGGAACCAAAATATTAAAGAAAAATGCATAAATGTATTTTCCTTTCTTCACATTTTTATTTATGTCCCATCTTATTCTACATAGGATTTGAGGAGGCTGCACTGCTGTAGAAAATAGATACATAGAATAATGTACACAAACAGGAAATCCATTTTAAAATATGTTACTATTCTTTACATACATGAAGGCTAAAATTGGGCTCAATATGAATGAAAAGAGGTAAAAGTTCATTTTCTAAGAGTCTCTCATTTTGCGTCTAAAACTAAATCTGTGAATGCAGGTAAAAATGCTTAATACAGTACCTAACACACAGTCCACTCAAATAGATAACACCATACTCAGTAAACTCTACTCCTTGTGTCAATGGGAAAGCCCATCTGCACAGAGAAGCTATGAGGGCAGATGAGTGGGTGGTTAATGCACCTCAACCCCTCGGCCCTGGTCCAAACTGGCTCCTCAGGGGCAGCCTCTGTGCCAGGACAGCAGAGACCGAGCCCTGGAAGCAAACGAGGTGTCCAGCCCAGCTCCCGGCAGCTGCTCAGTATCAGTCCAATCTGGCTCAGGGAAGACCTTTGAGCTCCTCAAAACCCTTTACAGCCAAACGCGTTAACAGTGGCAAAGTGGGGAAAAGGACAACAAAAATAGGGACAGACGTAATCCAAAAATGATTCATGAAACTTCCGGTTGTTCAACTGCTTCAACTTTCTCCCCACTAAACTTTGACCCCTAACTGCTAATAAGTAGCAAACATGACCACGTTGTCTTCAAAGCATACCAACAGAAGAGGGAAGTTCTAAATTCTGATACTAACATTCCATAATCTCCCACTCCGTGCTTGAGCTACATTCACATCAAACACCAAATCCTGACGCCACCACAGGCAGCAGGCAAACTGACCCTAGCACGCTGGGCTCCTTACCACACTCTGCCGTGACGGAGGCCAGCCCCCCATACACAAAGGGCTTCCAGTTGAGGGCCGACATCCTGGCCGCTGTCCCTGCTCCTTTGATTCACAGAAACATAGCCTCCAACAGGGTTTTCCTGCACACAAAAAGGAAGATGTTTCAAAGTTGTAATTTTCTCACAGAGGCAGTTTCTTCTTTAAACTTGAGTTTGATTTGGAGAGTGCCATGAGATGCTATCACTGAAACCCTCCTGCAGCAATTCCCAAGGGGAGCCTTGCCTTAATAAAGCAAAGCACTCCTATCCACTAAACCCCAAATTAGCAACTACTCTTCTCACTTTATCAGTTGCCTTAACTCTCATTCAGGCCTTAAATCATCCAATATACTGATTCCTTGACGTGTGCGTATGTATTCAGTGTAGCACAATGGAGGCTATTCCCTGGGTAGTCTATTTTATATCTGTTCTTCACTAGATAAATATTTGCTATTTGTTCACCATTGTCTTAGTGAGTCCCTCCCGGGAGGCACTGGAATCCCTCAGGTGCTCTGGAGTAGAAAAATGTTGCAACCCAGCATCACAAGGTAAAATGACAATTACTTAAAATTACCAAAATACACTTCTAGTTTACACTCTATAAATGTTAACTCTCTTCTCTTACCCATACTATGTTAACAGCTGGGAGGCAGCTTGGTAGGAATGAAAGAGGCAGACTCGGGTCAGAGCCACACCACTTCCTTCCTAGGGAAGCTCCTGTTAACCTCTAGGTTTTTTCATCATCATCATCACCATCATCACCATCACCATCATCATCATCATCATCACCACCACCATCACCATCACAGCAGTCAATACATCCAATTAGGGGTAGAGCCCATACTTTTATTAACTAAGCTAAAGAAGACGCCTAGCTTTTAGGCCTATTGTAAGGATTAAATATATACGTTAAGACTAATACAAAAAAGACACTCAACAACTGTTGCCTTCCATCCTCCTTTCCCTTAATAGGTCTTCGGGCACTGTGACATATATTCACATGCCTGCCACAGCCAGGTCCCCCACATTCATTATATGTTCTGCAGTTTTACACAACTTCAGCTGGTAAATCTGGCCTCATGTCCATTAACAGGAAACACACGCAAATTAACACTTTTGTGTATATACTAACAGCTACAATTATTGTTGGTTTAAAGTAAAATTTCTAATTTATTATAATCATTACTGGCAAGCGATATGCCCAATGATTTTACTTTGCATGTTTTAGGAGTTTCCCAAGTCTACAGTTCCCAAGAACGTCAGTTCTCAATAAGGCTAACGGGCTTGTCCAAACTGAGAGAAAACACAAGGAACCCAAAGGGGACCCTAAAGAGACCTACCCATAGCTACTGCTCGTTTATGGACGTTAACCAAACTCAGGGTGGTCACAAGTGAACAGGGTAGAAGGCTCCGAAAGCCTTCCAGCTCTGACGTGCTAATATAAGTGAGCCATGGAGGGGTGGGTGCTGGCCCACTAAGCCAGGCAAGGGACGGGCTTTGTCACGGCACTGCAGAGAACTGCCACCTGAGGTGAGGTGGTCAAAATGAGCCCATTCTCCCTAGAAGGGGAACCTTGGCCACTGGGGTCCCACTCTTGCCTGCAGGAACCTGTGGGTACAGACAATGGCAGGCTACCCCACCCTCACACCAAGGCCCCCTCTGTCCTCCAGATAGGCATCCATCTGAGGCCAGGCTGGTCAGCGGCCCCCCACAGAGGCTCTCCAGCTCATCTTGCTCCTCCTCTCCACCCTGCTGCAACCGCCAAGCACCAGCCCGATCACCTGGCATCTAGACCAAGGGCGTTCATAATTGGCCTCCCTGCTCTCATCTTCTCCACGCCCAAACCATCCCACCCACGGACATAATTAGGTCACACATACACACCCCTGCCCTGCAAAGTCCTCTGTGTCTCCCCATCACCCAGAACAAAGTTCACAAGAGGCCCTTCAGGAATCACTGTTAACGGTGGGATAGGGATAGTAGGGTGATGCAGGAAGATCCCCAGATGGTTCAGAGATGCACACTAGCATATTTAAGGGGTCTGGAATTTGCTTTAAAACAGTCCAGCAAAAGGGAGAGGGAGCAAGGCAGGGGAGAAAGCTGAAGCGTACAGGGTAAACTCTTGATAATTGTTGAATATGGTGATGGTATATGGGGTACATTGTATTTTCCTCTCTGCTTTGTATATCTGAACTATTTCATATTAAGAATGATTAAATGCTGGAGCTGGCCCGGTGGCGCAAGCGGTTAAGTGCGCGCGCTCTGGTGCGGCGGCCCGGGGTTCGCCGGTTCGGATCCTAGGCGTGCACCGACGCACTGCTTGTCAAACCACGCTGTGGCGGCGTCCCATATAAAGTGGAGGAAGATGGGCACGGATGTTAGCCCAGGGCCAGTCTTCCTCAGCAAAAAGAGAAGGATTGGCAGATGTTAGCTCAGGGCTGATCTTCCTCACAAAAAAAAAAAAAAAATTTTAAAAATAAAAAGCTGTTTAAAAAAAATATATGATTAAATGCTTTTTAAAGCAAATAAAAAGGCCACTGGGGAGAAAACAAAAAGAAGGCTCCCTAAGCGTGGAATTTGAAAATCATGTTTTATGCATTTCAGTACCAAGAACAACCCTGCCCCCCAAAACTCAGCTCCCTTTTATCCTTGAAAACATTTAATAATCTCCATACTTAACTAATTCTTAGCCTTACTAAATTCATAACTAATATAATGACTAATACTATAAGTTATAGAGTATAAGAACACACTAAAGGGGCCGGCCCACTGGCATAGCGGTTAAGTTTGCACGTTCCACTTAGGCAGCCCAGGGATCGCTGGTTTGGATCCTGGGCACAGACCTACTCACTGCTCATCAAGCCATGCTGAGGCAGCATCCCATATAGAAGAGCTACAACTCTACAACTATGATACACAACTATGTACTGGGGCTTTGGGGAGTAAAAAAGAAAAAAAAAGGGGGGAAGATTGGCAATAGATGTTAGCGCAGGGCCAATCTCCCTCAAAAAAAAAAAAAAAAAAAAACACACTAAAATAAATCCAGTAATTCGTCTCCTGTCCAGTAGTACCTTCCTCAACCTATTCTTAGATTTTGCTGAAGCCAAGTTAAAAAACAAAACAATAACTACATAACAATGGTCTGTGGAGTGCTGGTAACTTACTGTTATAAAGAGTGTCCGACATAAATGATTTCAGGGGATCAACTGAGTAACAAGTTTGGGTCAGGAGGGCAGAGAAACAGACTAGGAAACCCAGTCCCAGGAAGGGGCCTTGCCCAAGGCACCTGGCTGATGGGGGCAGAACTGGGCCTCCAACCCCAAATGTTCTGCTTAAAGTGCAGTGTTCTTTCTGCTACCTCCTGAGGCTGCACACTACAAGCATAAAGGAGTGAGGCCGTTTTAATTACAGAGAAAATATTACTAAGCAGCTTCAAAAAGGTACTACTTATAAGATACTTCTTTATAAACAAAACGTGCTTAATTTAAGAGAAATGTCTTCAGAGAAAATATAATATTCAGAAGGTAGTCAATCTAAACAGCGATAATTTATTTTTCCAACACATAGTATACAAAAAGAGTGTTCATGAGTTTTTTCCCCCAGAGTTTTTTACTAAGGTGATATTCACATACTATAAAATAAGTCATTTTAGAGAACAACTCAGTGGCACTTAATACATTCACAATGCTGTGCAACCACCACCTCTATCTAGTTCCAAAATATTTGATTACCCCAAAAGGAAACTTTTAAGCAATTACTCCCCATCCCCCATCCCCAGCCTCCATATGATTAATTTTTTGGCTGTGATACTATATACGCATCAAACATCTGCGTGGAACATAGGACTCCTTATTAGCAGTTCCTAACCTGGCTGCAGATCTTAGTAGAGACACCAGCGCCCACCTACTGAATGAGGATCTCGGGGCCATCCAGGGCATCTGTGTTGTTACTGAAAATCAGTGAGTTAAATAGATGATGGCCCATTCATGCCTTGAAATACTGATCAATTAAATTCCCATTTTAGGTAGTTAATTCTCAATGACGATATTATAGTTGATTCTTCCCTTTATTCATCATATTTAGTAGTGACTTTTTCCTCCATATATATATATACACAGACACACACACAGACACACACACACACACACACACACACACACACACACAAGATATCCTCCAAAATGTCAGCAAAACTTTATGGGAAATGGGATTATAACTTTTGATCTCTAATTTAAAAACAACAGGAAACAGGGCCGGCCCAGTGGCAACGCGGTTAAGTGCTCGAGCTCTGCTTCGGCGGCCCGGGGTTCGCAGGTTCGGATCCCAGGCGCGGACTAACGCACTGCTTGTCAAGCCATGCTGTGGCGGCGTCCCACATAAAGTAGAGGAAGATAAGCATGGATGTTAGCCCAGGGCCCATCTTCCTCAGCAAAAAGAGGTGGATTGGCATTGGATGTTACCTCAGGGCTAATCTTCCTCACACACACAAAAAAAAACACGAAACATTTTTTAAAGACTATATTGTCATATGACCTCATGCCATCACTGATTAACTTTCTGGTTTCCTGCCACTACTTTTATTTGCTTTGCTAGTTTAGTTTTAAAGAGATTTGGCTACTTGTTCTTTTGTTGGTTTTGATACTAAGTCGTTAGTTAGTTAGATTAAAACCCAGAGGTTCTGGGTTTTACGCATATGTAAATACTCAACTAGAGCTCAAAACGGCTATGGAATTGCCTCCCCGTGGTTTTGAATCATATGGATGGAGCACACACCCACTAGTTCCCATTCAGATGTACCACCGCAATAAACTTACCTTCCACAAATGAGTGCTCCCTCCTGTGTCCCTGGTGAAACTCTAAGAAAGTACTTTCTATTCAATTATAATTTTTAAAAGTTAGCTAGGAAATGGGTAAAAGTAACTTTTAGGCTCTTCTCTCTTCCTTTCCAAATGCTAGGACCAGATCCCTGAGCAGTTAAGACTACCGCACCTTCCCATGTTAACATTTGCTGAGTCAAAGAAAGAATAATTTGGCTTAAAATAACAACCCGAGAGCATGAGCAGTTGGTCAAACATCCAAACAAGAAAAGGTTCTAGCTAAGA